TCCATTCGTTCTGATTGGAAACGGGATACAAACTCCCTCAGCATCTCGTTCTCCCTTTGCTTTAATTTGAGTACATCGGACTTCCTTGTTGCAACTTTTATGGCACAAGTATGTGCCTTCACAAATAAGTCTGCCAGCATGGCAAACGAATCAATATAGTTCGGGGGTAGGTTATGGTACCAGATCATGGCACCTTTAGACAGAGTTTCCCCAAACGTTTTTAGCAAAACAGGTTCGATCTCATCGTCTTCCAAATTATTTTTTTTTATACCATAAGTATATGTGGTGATGTGCCCATTGGGATCAGTGGTTCCGTTGTATTTCGGGATATCTGGCATCCGAAACTTCTTAGGGATGGGCTTCGGAACCGCACTTTGGGGGAATGATTTTTGCACGAACTGCTTCGAGTCAGTCCTTATAAAATCGGAGGTGCTCCTGGTATTTGGTCGACCCACGAGTAGTACATCTACACTTTTTTGTCATTTTCTTCAACTTTCTTTTCTCCGGTCTCTATCCTTTTGGCGATCTCTTCAAGTATTTTCATAACAGCGGGGTCAGTCCCCGAGCCGTTTTCATTGGGCCTCTCTACCGTTGGTTTTGCAAGCCGAGTGTTCACTGGTTCGGCTGTGTTGGGGATTCTATTTTGACTCTGAAGTTGAGCGATGGCAACTTGTTAGTCTTGCAACATTTCAAATATCACCAGGAGGTTGTCTCCTCCTTCTTCCACTCCTCGTGTTTCTTGGCCTTCGGCTTGGGCTTCCCTGTGTGCATTCCTTACGGGTTTTATGCCTACGGCATTCTGTGTGCTAGACATGTTTAAGCCTGAAATCAAAGAATCTTTGACAAGAAAAAGTATGAAGAATAACGTGTATTATTAGAAAACTAGCACTAAAATAATTACTATTATCTTAAGCCCCACGGTGGGCGCCAAACTGTTTACCTCGAAAAATGGGTGTAACAATTAAAGATGAATTGTTGTTTTAAAGATATGTGATTTATTCCAATACTAGTGAATATACAAGTAATACTAAGCTTAAGTAAGAAGAATTGATGAACCAAACCAGTATTGTTAGAGCAATAGGGGCCTCGAGCTCGACTGTGCGAGGAGCCTCAAGGTGGGCTAAGAACCAATAATGTATGAACAATAAAGTAAAAATGATAAAGCTGAAGAACAATTGTTGAGCACATTGAACGAGAAAAGCAGAGTAGAATATTCTATTGCAGTGAATAGTAATGTGTTTTTTACAAATGATTGGGGTCCCCTTTATATAGGAGGAGAAAACCTCAATATAGTACATTCCTAATTGTGGTAAAGAATTATATTGGTAGAGGTGTATAACCACCTAGTACGAACCTGTACCATTTCGTACAAATCTTATCTTTTGATTTATGCCTTGATCAACGTGTCCCTGAGAAATTCCCGATCTTTCTTGAGTGGCTTTCGAGATTGTACTGCCCTCGATGTAGGTTGTGACAAGCCTCCGATCTACTCCCTCGAGGTGCATGTCTTTCAGCTGGGTCCGACCCCCGCTTCGACTTGCCCGGATTCGAACTTAAAGCCCAATTTAAGACTTCAAAATCGGGCTCCTTGATTTTGACCGTATACATATGGTGTTTTTTATTAAATAAGTAAAGCATTACCGGACGACTAAAGAACATGGCCCGTCAGAGTAAGGGAAGTCAAGAATCAAGGATATTTTGCTGGCATTATCGAATAAAATAAGAAGTGATATATTATGAAAAGTAAGTATTAAAAAAGTAGAGCAAAGTGATAAGTATGAAATGGGGGAGACCATTAGAAGATGTAAGTTAATGTATAGAAGTGCGATAAGATCCGTAGGCAAGAAAACATAAGGAATAAGTGATCTTTGAGCCTACAAAGTAGAGTAGGCCACGTTTTCATTAAGGGTGAATTAATAATATTAATGGGGATTATCAGAAGATTCATATAACTAAGACACTGATGTTGGAAGACGATTTAAGATGAATCAGAACAAAGACACCGATTAGATATGCGAATTTATAGGGAACTCCTTAACAAGCCACGTGAACCGAAGTTAAGTTTGTCGAGAGCAAGTATGCTAGCAAGAATATATGACCCTCTACGTATATAGACCTCTTTAATATCTTCAGATGAAGAAAAGTTACACCAGGATCAATTTTAAGCTGCTAGGTATACAGATTTACAAAATACGGAAGGATGAGCAGGATTTCAACCGAACAAGTATTTAATTGTTTCCCAAAGGGAGGAGATAAGATGGTAAAATACAAAGTTAGGAGCGGGCCTTGTTTAATAACAAAAAGAATGGAAAGATTGTAATAGAAAGGATTAGAAAGAAACTATAAAGTAATGCACGAGTGCAAGCAATATGGAGATGAGACAAGATGGATGGAAATAGTAAGAGATAGTATAAGGATGAGCCGTTAGACAACGTCAGCTTCTTCTAGGTTATGAGTACAACCGACGAGAGAATACATTCAAATTTTGTCATTTATCGTGAATGATAACACGAGGATGGGAATCAAGAATGATGTCAGAATTATGTATGTATGAGAGATCTAGAATATTTCAGAGTGAGAACAGAGTTGCAAGTAAGGTGTAATAAAAATAAGCCTAAATAAGAAGTCGTTGGAAACTATTAGAAGAAAGAATGATAAGGAGGAGTGTCCATTCATATAGGACGATATGTATAAATTAGAGTGAAGAGAACGTAGCTAATATCTTAGAAAATGTGTTTAGCCGTAAAGCTGCGGGTGGTTGATAAATGAGCAAGCTAGAAAGAAAAAAGAGTTGGCTGGAGGTGTTCAGTAATTAGCGGGTTTAGGAATCCGCCTGGTAGACTCGGACGATGGGGTTGTAGTAGAGTCCAGAATCTTGTAGAGGCAATTCTTATAACCAAGGAGAAAGGAATGTTAATGCAACAGTTGTGTTTTAGGAAAAATCAGAGAAGGTATTAGGCAAAAGAAGATTACATCTTTTGAGTTTATTGAAGGAGGGGTCTTGAGATATCAGGGCAGTTTGCGTGTCCCAAGAGTTACAGGATTATAAGATAAGACTAGGATGGAGTTCCATTATTCACACTATTCCATTATCCCAGAATATCGAAGGTGTATTGTAATACCAAAGAACTACGTTGGCCAATCTATATGAAAAGAACATCGCAGAGTTCGTGGCTCAATGTCGAAATTCTCAGCAAGTCAAGATACACATCAGAAATATAGTGAATTGACACAGAATATAGTACCCTAGACATAGAAATGAGGAATGGTTGACATGAAAATCATTACAGATATGATAAGTTTGATTCCATATGGATACCGTACTTACTACTGGACAAATCATTAAAGGTTATGTAAAATGGCAAAGTACAGGAGGTAGTGCGAGTGAATAATGTTTCCGGGCTGATTATATTTAACTTCTGATGGTGCTCTCAAAGAAACTCAGACGCATAAGTTAATTATAGTATAACCTTTCACCCATAGACGGGTGGTCGAGCAGAGCCAATGATATGTCATGAACAAAGACATCACAGAAGGGTGAGATAATCAATTACCGTTTATTGAGTTCGCATACAACCAGCAAATGAGTATCACAAAGAATACAATTTAAGCCTGGCAGGGTAACTTCTAGTGAAGAGTGGTAAAAAGTACACATTGTCCCTAAGATAGTTTGAAAGATAGAATTGTCCGGGATTGATTTAGTATATCAAACTACAAATTACACACGACAACAAGATTTAAAAATTTCAAGTCAATGGTGGGGGGTCTTTTTGCAAATCTTGCCCATGAAAGAGGTAATGAGATGGTACGACAAGTTGACTAAGACATAAAGAGTCATTTCGAATTATTCGTAGTACATACCAAATGACATATGAATTAGAGTTTCCCTCGGAATTAAGATCCATTCACCCAGTTTCCATGTCTCCATATGGAAGAGATCCATTGAAGTTTCCCCCTCAGGTAGTGCAGATGGATGATATGCAAGTAGAAGAGAATTTATGGAATGAAGAAGGGGACAAGGAATGTAACCTCATGAAAGTATGTGGCGCTATATGAATGTGGAAGGAATTACATAAGAATCGAAAGGAGAAAGGAGTTCAAAAATCCTCATAACCTCAGTCTGAAGAATATATTCGAATGTGAGTATCTCATAAGAAATGACGTAAATAGCCAAGGAAGAAATAAAATCTAAGAACCCTCAATTGCTTCAGATAGAAGGTGATACTCCGAGATGAGACTATCACTTTCAGGAGCGATGAGACATTACTACTTGTTTGTGGCCATGTGCGGCGTATGGAATGCTTTGTGTCTGCTTGACAAGTTTGCAATTAACAAAGGAGACTGCCGAATTTTTCAGGAAATATTTTTTTAGAGCTAGTTTCTCCTCTCAGACGCCTTTGCATTTGAGGACAAATGTTCTTAAGGGATAAGGATGTTACACCCTATACTTTCATGTTAGAATGCATCGTATGAGAATCAATATGAGCTAGAGAGGTTAAGGACCTTTACGAAGATAGTGATGGGTTAAAACAAGTGTTAAGGAATTATCGTGCGTTGGAGGTTAAACGAATCAAAGATGTTATAACTTGTACTTTCGCGGTAAAACTAGGGGTGTTTAATATGCTAAAAAGGTCATTTTTTAAGGTATTTGAATCATATAGTATTTGTATCATAAGTTCTGAAGTCAAGCAAGTTGTATGACAAAAGTCTGGAAAAAGTTATCGCAAGTTAACTTCATAATTCTATTGAAATGTGGAATATAATTGGAATTACGGTGTGGTATACCTACTAAATTAAAGTTCTACTAGTCTATTTTCAAATGCATTAAACCGTTCATCAATACGATATTAGACTAGAGAGATATTTGTATTTTCGCAAGATTGCACAGTGAGCCTCGTTGGGACCCACTTGAGGCGGTGGAAATATCTTGATATATATATTTGTGATGCGTACAACTCCTTTTCACTCATTATTTTTCACTTTCTCCAGACCCTGGACACCTACAAACCTTCTCTCAAAGTTCTCTCATGATCCAAGATCCAAACAAAGGACAAACTACACAAATCAAGTGACTGGAATCTCGTCGTGCTAGTGAGTTTCTTGTTCTTCTTGTGGTTGCTGATTTTGGTGTTGTTGCAGCTCGTGTGGAGGGTTGTTCTAAGTGATTTACATTCTGAAAACTACTCTTCCAAGGTTTTTATATCAACCTTAAGTGATTTCAAGCATTTCAAAGTGATTCTTGTGCCTAGAAATCTGAAGTAGTTGCTAGTTTCTTTTCCTTGTTCTTGTAGTTGCGCTGGAAAGATACTTTGTGTTGAAGTAATCTCAAATTTCAGTTGTTCTATATGTTTGAAGGTAAGTTACCTCTTACTCTACATGTATTTAATCTTGTAGGAGTTATGGTTAGCTCGTGCTATTGAAAACCCGTAAAATAAAGGTCAAAAATTGTAATTTTATTGTCTTTGTGTGTTGAACTATTTGCCGCTAGTTGTACTTTGCTTGAGTTTTTGGAATTATTCGTACATTGTTGAGGATCTGAATGGATGGGATTAGTATTGGTATTGTTAATGTTGTTGTTTTGTGTTGTTTTGAATTTAGGAAAGTAAGGAAATGTAGGGAAAATTCAACCCAATTTTTTTGAAGAGAGCTACTAACTTAGAAATATGTTTTGCGTTCGTCCATGGCATTAACCATAGGTTCTGTTGTCTTGGTGTAGATTGAAGTGCTACGGGAAGTTATACGCTGATTTGTTAAGAAAATGACAAAAGGTATGTGAAGCTATCCATTTCCTTCTTTTCCACGACTATGATTGTACGTAACATAACCGAACGATTTTCCAAAGATACTCCACTCTTAGAATCTAGCAATACTTACATAAATTCTCTTCCTATGAAACTATTGATGCTGATATTGATTCTGTTATTCTAATGTTATCGAATATTTTGGAATATCCTAAATCTCATAAGATTCATGATGACGAGTTAGCTCTAATAATGTATTCGGAAGTTACCGATCTTACATCACTCTAAAAGGCTTAGAAAGTTCTTCCACGAGTTCAACATGCATTATATATATATATATATATATATATATATTACTCTACCAAGCCGCACTATAGCTGGCCGGGTACGTCACCTATTGTGAGACCACTGATCAGTAGGATTTTACTAAGCTTCGTGTGGTCGGATCCGATTTTACTGAGCCTTATGATGGTCGGGTACATTTTTACCGAGCCTGTTACGGCCGAGTACAATATGATGATGCCCACAGAGGCATATATTTTTTTCTAAAAGTATATATATGTATCATGCATTGAATATCAGTTGCCCTCAGAGGCATCCCGATGTTACATGTTGTATCTCCTTTATCTCTTTTTACATTGATGTTCTTGTTTATGCTTCCCCAGTCTACATACTCAGTGCTTTATTCGTATTGGCACTTTTATTTTGCGGACACTCTATGTCGTGCTGCAGGTCCAGATATATAGGTTGACGATCCTCATTAGCAGGTTATTAGCTCAGCGAAAGATGTCGGTGCACTCCATTTGCTTCGGATTGCCTTTGAGTCAGTATGCTTATATCTATGTTCACATGTATGGCGGGGTCCTGTCCCTATCTTATGATGTTTATATACTCCTTAGAGTTATGTGTATTAAGGGTCATAACTGCCATGTAGGCCCGTATATCTCATGTATATAAGCTTGTATATCATTTTGGGTCATCTTTTATCGATTTTTCTTTATGTTTTAACCAGATTATATCATGGCGGGCTCTTTATGTTTTAACCAGATTATACTGTAGCAAAGGAATAGAGAATTTGCTTATCTTAAATAGTCAATGAGAATTGCAGACTTAAAGAGGCGGGGGAGCAGAGGGGGAACAATACTTGAGACAGTGAGTATCAATGTAAGTGTTTTGTTCTAAAAAAGAATATTTTAAAGATAAATAGTAAAAATTTTGGTCAAACTTATGCTTATAAGCTAAAAATTCATAAGTTAGGTGACCAGTATGGCTTTTAGCTTATTTTTGACTTATAAGCACTTTTTAACTTTATCAAACGCATAAATAAGCCAAAAAAATATTTATAAGCTAGTTTGACGAGCTTATAAGGTTAGCCAAACACCCTCTTAGTTAAGTGGACTTAAATAATGAAGCATATTATTGCTACATAGCAATTTGGAGTTAAATCGTAATGAGCTTATTTATCATTCAAGAGAATGCGATACATCTCAACATGATATTTGTACCATTAAATTTGTGCAAGTATCCATTTTAATTACTTCGCTTTCTAATTTTGTTGTTGCCTTGTCTTGAACAAAACCAGCCACATTTTCTGCATAAGCGGATTCTTTAGTAAGCTTTTCCAGATAACTGCTTATATTTAGGTAATAGTATACCACGAAAATGGCCAAATAATATGATTATGAAAACTCAAGGAGAAGAAAAAAGATCCACCAAAGGGATAAACATTGATAAAAATTGACCCAAGTATATGATAAAGTAAAAGCAGCTGCGGGCTACATCAATTGCAGCCACTTCAAGCTCTATTACAGATGGCCTTTCGCTTTCTCTTTAACCATCAACCATACTGCATACTACTGTTCCTTTTCCAATATTAGTCAAAAAGGCCAATACAAGCACTCGAAATCACCTAATTACACTATTAGTACTTATCCCCCCACTATTTCCTCACACACACTGAAGTATTTTTTTTGATTTCACTCTATGCTTCCCCTCCATTCACTTTTTTAAGAGGAAAAATATTTTGGAACAATAAAATGGGAACAAAATTTTTAAAATAGAGTAGGGAAAATAGCCAGTCAATTGTCTCTGTCTTGAATAATTTTAGACTTTGAAATTCTTTCCAGTGAAAGTTTGGCCAAATTGCCAATGAGAAGGGACAATATTCCATGAAGTAGAAGAGCGATGGTCACTGGCTTTGACCCTGAAAGAGAGGGACTGACCAGTCAAGACAGCGTTTGATTGCCAATTTTGACCCCAGTTGCGACTCAGGGAAATCCAGTTAGTCTTTGACCCTTTAACCCACACCTTTATTATGTCTCCTGCACCCGCCACGTTTGTGATCAATACCAAGTTGAAGTAACGGAAGCCATTGATTGTGAATCTGATTCCTCCTCGCTTTCGGCATGGTATCCTAAGAATTACAGAATGGTAAATACATTGTTAAGAATAATGGGAACAAACTTGCTGTTGAGGTAAAGAATAGTGTACGGAGTTATTATACTGACGTGTTAAAACGCGGTTTCAAAAGGGTCCCACTTATATGTGATAAAAGGTAAGAAGAAATCAGAGGAAAAAATAGTAAGGCACATGGGGATTCTTGAAAAAGCTTGTGTGTAGGTACTAAGATTTTGTATTCGTACAACACCAAAGTCAAAGTGGGTTATATTATACCATGGTCCACATGATAAATTTGATGTTCATGGTGTGAACCCGTGATATTTTTCTTCTATCTTACGGTTTTTCAAGTTACTCGAATAAAATACTCCGTCCAGTACATAATAAGTGATCGATTTATCTTGGGCACGTATATTAAGGAAATACTAAATTATAGACAAAAATAATTAATGTGACTAAGTTACCCTTAATTAAATATTGTACCATAATTTAATGTGAGGAGTAAAAAAATTTTTAGGGATATGTACAAGAGTAATTTTGGAAAAACAAATTGAATTTTTTATTGATTATATAAATGGATACTTATTTTGGATCAAAATAAAAAGGCAAATTGATCACTTATTGTGGACTGGAAAGAATAGAAAAGTGGCAAACGTGATACTTTATAGCATCCCAAATTACCGCAATAGCTATGACAGTAGCAATTAATGAGGGGGCGTTTGGTAGGATGGATAAGTAAATATAATTTTGGGATAAAAATTTAGTATTATTTCTTGTTTGGTTATTGGTTTGGGTTAAATTATCCCAAAAATGGTACCGAAATAACATATACATACAAAGAGAGTAGAATAATAATCCCTAGATTAGTTATTCTAAAACAACAAACCCAACAATCAATAAAAAATAATCTCAATATAACTAATCCTAGCATAACTTGTCTTCAAACTAAACACCTAAGGTATATGCTTAAAACATACTTGTAAGTAACATTACGATAGTCCAAAAATAGTATGTATTGCAATAAAGAGGAAGAGGGCATTACCGGCGATAAGTAACGGGAACAATGCCAGCACGGTACTCGGCAATCTTGAGGAACATAGGCATGGCAAGATCAAAGTGAGAACGTGGAGGATTGCACCATCCACCATTGTCATTGGGCTTTGCGTAGTTTGGTGGGCAGAAATTGGTGGCAGTGATTAAAATGGATGGGCTTCCGGGGAGACACCACTTCCAATTGGGATCATTTGTGCATTTAATCTCAAAGCAAGCTCCACAACTTAACCCATTGTTAAACAAAGCTGTGCTCAACGCTGCAGTGTTCACTCCGTACCCTTGGCTGTACAAATTGCCGTAACCACATGCACCACCTGCATTACATAACCAAAGCTAATTAAAATCATAGAGGGAAATTAAAATAAATATGAAATGGATGGACATGGATTTAATTTGTACCCATAGTTCCGGAAGCATCACTGCCACCATAAAATGTAGCATGAGCAGTCTGCCAAGAACCACCAGAATAAACACCGGGGATTCTTGCTTCAACAAGAGAAACCAGGAAAATTAGACCAACAATGGAAGTGATGACTCCCATTGAACCCATTTCTTTTGATAGCCAAAATGAGAGGAATTGAAGTTGAAAGTGAAGAAAATTGGCAAGGCGAAGTAGTACTTATGGAGGCAGGGGAGAAGAGAGAGAACAGACGAGAAAGAAAATCATGACATATCTTCTCCTTAATTATGCCTATACCCTATTTGGTCCTCCTTAATCAACGGACATATTGGCGGAAAGTAAACTATACCAAAATTCAACCTCTACGGTAAACGGAAATATATTTTCGTTTGACGTAATTGGCATCCTTGTCAAGTTTTATTTGATGTCTAATACAACTTCACTACGAGACTCCTTTTTGTCTCGTAAATTTGTGAACCTCAATCTTATATTTTTTGGTCCACAAAATTGTGAGACAAAAACGTTGTCTCGTACAATTAGTGTCAGTTGTATAAAACACAAAATAAAAATGTTCGCATTTGATAGTCATGGTTTTGTGGGCAATGTGGGAAATTCATGGAGAGAATATATATTCTTTAATTTGATTGGAATATATCAGGTTAAAAAGGAAAAGATACGTGGGTCCGCAGGATGAAACAGTTATTGCCACTTTGCTTTAATTGCAAGTTGTGCCAACACTCCCTCTTTCCGAAGATTTCCATAAATTCCTTCCGATTTTTCCATTCCCACTTCTCTCTCTTTCTGTTTTTAATGGAATTTGCACTAGCTGAGCAACTATTCCTTAATTCCCATCCTTCTTTTTAAGATTCCTGTCATTGTCCGATATTAAAAGCTTAAATTTTAAGCCCTCTAGAATTGAAGGGCTCCAAATCTTTAAATTATATATTATAAAATTATTAATAATAGATATAAATTTAAATTTTTTTTATGTGAAATGTGATAGAGGTTATTTAAATAAATAGCTTGAGTTTTATAATCAATATGCAATTTATGAAAGTAAACCATTTGATGACAACTTTGATAATTAAAGAATACAGTCTCTTATATCTTTAAGAGTTGAATATTTTATAAAGAGTGGAATAAGACATTTGTCACTTCAGTAGACTCGAACTATTTCAAATAATGAAATTTTACTGACATTTATTTAGTTGTAGAAAACTGAGATTATTAGAATTTATAAAAATATTATCTTAACCGTTAATATATGTTTCTTATAAAAATGTTATTTAATTAATAGAACTACTAATATTTCCAATGGTGAGAACTAGTAAATATATGAATGAA